ACCGTACCGCGCGCGCGTGCGTGTGTGTAGTTCGTGGAGTTGAAGTCCGCCTGTCTTAAAGTTGCCAAGGTTGAGAAACACTGCCCTAAAGGATGCATTTTAAATATTCTGCATGCTCTGTGTGGGTTGGCTACTGAAAGGACGATATTCAGCAAATGTTTGATCTCTTTTTCTCTCCTGCCTGGCAGAGAATCAGCTAGAGAGTGACAAGATGCAGAAGCAATATCACAGTCGAGTGGCCTTGGGGCAAGTGAAGGCCTTGGAGGAGCGGGTGACATTTTTGGAGCAGGAGAAGAATGAGGCTCTTCAGGTATACGAACCAACAGGAGATGCCGGGTTGACGCAACAGGCTGAACTCGGTGGCTGGATTAACCCACGTTTCTGGAGTCGCAGAATGCATTGCCTTCCGTCAACTAGACGGCTGGGCTCTTGCAAAATAACTAACCTTTTCTAATTCCCGGCCTTTTTCTCTGCTCAGCCTAAAGACAGGCCCTCGTCAGAACGGTACCCGTCCGAGGGACCACTGTCTCGCACGCGGGGCTGATGGCGCACGCTTCAACCCCTCTTCCATTGCTGCTAACGCTTTCCAACCCATCTGGTTGCTTTTACCTTTCAGACGCTCACAGCTTCCATCCCCAGAGCGCCATGCTTCGCCTTGCACTTCTATTCATTTAATTTGCTCGACGCAACGCAAGGAAAAACGCAGGCTGTTCAGATAAGCAGGGCTGGGCCAGCTGAGTTTTCAATCAGCACCTGAAACTGTCTAGACAGGATTTTGAAACTGACTAGATTGCATTCCTGGTTCCTATCAGCTTTTGATTTTGATTAATAGTGGGCGAAGCGCTCAGAGCTGAAGGAAGGGTGGGGGTGCCCCAGTCTCCGCTTCCCCCAAGGAAACCCTTTGATTCCGTTCGGCTTTACCTTGGGCGCACAATGTAAGCACAGAGGATAGCGTGCAGCAGGTTCTCGTGCTTTCAAGGAAAGGCAGTGTGACCTGGCAGGCGTTTCGGACTCCTGATCCTGCCGTTCCTTGCCCCGCGCTGTGCCAGGGGGCTGGAGAAGTTGGTCTGAGATCTCTGCCAGCACCTGGTTCCTGCGTGTTTCACCGCTAGACGGCCCAGAGGAAGCCCGCTCTACGGCGGAGCACGCAGGTCCCACGCTGATAGCGAATTCTTCTCGGGGCAGGATCTGGCCGAGGCCCAGGAGCAGCTGCAGGCTCAGTCCTGGGAGCTGCAAGAGGAGCAGGAGCGCCACAGGGAGACGGCCGAGGAGCTGCGGAGCGCCGAAGCCAAGTGCGGGGAGCTGCGGGCCCAGCTGCTACGGCACTCCCGCCAGCTGCGGGAACGGCTGGAGGAGACGGAAGCTGCCGCCCGCCGGGTGGAGGGGCTACGCAAGGAGCTGGCCCGTACTGAGAGTGGGCGCAAGGAGGTACCTTCACTCCCCCACCCCCGCACTGGGGGGCCTCCCCAAGGGGCTGGAGGATCAGCTCCGAACGCTGAGAGCTCTGAAGATGATTCATGTCCCGGAAGAGAGGTGTAGCGCTGGCTGGGGATCTGGTGAGGAACGGGGGCCTTTCAGAGCTGCAAACATTTGCGCATCGCTAAGGCAGGTGGGCGTCCCAGGTGGCGTCTCCTGCTCAGGTGCGCCAGCTCAAGGAGCGTTCCAGGCCGTCTTCTTTCTCCGACGCCCCAGGAAGGTGGCGGGTGCGGGAACGGACCGCCCCCCCCCCCCCCCCCCCCC